ACTCAGCATAAATTAAATTACATTTTTAATTTGTAAATTTCGAGGTCCCGGAACAAAGCGGGGTGACCGATCTGGCAAGCGTGGATATTTTGCATCCGCTTCAGGTAGTTCTCAGTGCCGCCAACTTGTATTTCCTTGGTAAAATATAGGTTTGTGTATGTTTTATTTAATCTATAAAACAGTTTATTGTAAATTATTTTATTTTATGCAAAGCAAACTAAAGGGACAAGATGTCAGTCACCTAAGTCACATCAGTCTTTTCGCAACGATTGTTTAATTTTACTTATAAAATTCTTATTAAACGAGTTTAAATGTAAGAAATATTGTATACATGTTTGGTAAAATATGTTGCATTAAGAACTGTATTTAACAAAAATAAAGGCAATTATCCTCTAAACGTGGTTGTGTGTAATATTTTAACTTTTGAGGTTGTAATTATCTGTAAGTACCTGTTCATGTACAAAGTAAAAAAGCTAGTATTTTTGTAAACAAACAAACAATAAAAGTAAGAAAGAAAGAAAATAAAAGAGAGAATTCGCCATTGTTACACATTTCCGATTAAGCTTTCCTTCCCCTCTCACACACACACACACACACACACAAATCAGTGTCCACCAATTACAGTTGTAGTTTATTACCGTGGAAATAAAACCTGGCGTGGATAACACGCATATTTAATTTCATACATTTATTATCATTTTATATTTAAAGGGGATAAAGTTATTGACATTATCATACGTGCTTTTTCATGAAATATGCATGCTGTAAAACAGCACGAACGTCTTTCATTGGTGCGTGAGGAGAGGGATCTGCCAAATGAGGTGCCCGATCCGGATCCAGCTTGTTCCGGTACAAATTAAGCCCTGAGGGTGCGTAAATGACACAAATGTGCAGTATGTAATATTGACAACTAATGGTTGAAATGGGCATTGCAGTCCAAATTCAAAATACTGAAGAGAGATGTCTCTCCCGCTCCCTCCTCCTTAGACTCAACGCTCACGCGGGTTGCCAGATTGAGGACACAACAAGAACGAGCGCAATTGACAATTGAAGGCAATACTATTGGGTAAACTGGCAGTGGGCGGAGTCACACAGACCAAAACAAAAACAGGCATTCCGACACGGAACACACATTCCAAAGTAGAATAACTGGCTGTAGCACTGTTTTTCTGATGTGAACCTGGCATGTTTCCTAAATATCTGCAAACATATTATGGTATTTTTATAGTACAGTCAAAACATTACATACAACACCTAGTCATAAAAGGGAATGCATGCAAGCATGTTGTCCGATTGTACACACTTTACACAAAGCCAGAGAAACGCTGTGTTCTTTCCAGCACAGATGCGTCACTCAAGCTGTTAGCTTATATGAACTGAAATAGTGCTCATTTGCATCCATTATGTCAACTCACCAGTCAAATCAAAGCAAGCGCTGCAGGAAGTTCCTCCAGCAGCAAAGCCCTTTTAAGCCCAACAGTCTTCCCTCAACAGACAGCAACAGGGCATCTGTGAGGGCAATTTACCCCCTCGCATGCTGTAAATGCTGTAAATCTACTTTATCTAAAGGGAAGCTTTGACCAGTGTGTCTGATCATAGATTTCACCGCACGACCACACAGAGCATCCGATTCAATCCATCTCATCCCAGCAGGTCTTTATGAGGCAGAGCGGGGCGCGAGGCATGATTACACCAGTGGGACCCCTGAATCCTGCCTGTAAGCTGTAGAGAGGGACATGCGCTTCCTCAAAGCTAGCTCATATGACTGTGTGTGTGTGTGTGTTCAGATGGGCTACTCACTGGGTCACGACTTCCACCACGGAAAAAGTGAATGACAAGGTACTTTTCTCAGAAAGAGAGAAAATAGGAGGTCATTTTGGGACGTTAAAGGAATATTTTTTTCAAAGATTTTTTTTAAAGGTGAAGTTTCAGTTTTTTCCTATAACACTTTATTAGTGATTAGTAGTTCTTTAATTTGCAGTTATTCATATTAGTAGGATCAATGCTAAAGAAAATCCTTTTAAAAAATGGCATTTTTTGTATTCATACTGGTTTTATATGGTTTTTCAAAACTTTGATGCTGCATATTAAAGAGAGAATTCTTTCAAAATATTTATAACTGAAAAGCAATGAATATTCTCTCATCATTTACTCACCATTATGTGGTTCCAAACCTGTATGACTATTTTGAAAAATGTCTTATGTCATGTGGTGTAAAAAAATTTTCTTATATTTTGAACACATTAGTGTATATAGTATCTTAATCTTTTTTATACACATCATGAAAATATCAAGTTTTTGGGTAGATGCACCATGTGACGTTTTGCAACCTAAATGATGCTTGGTTTATCACAAAAAAAGGTACATTTTTCTTGACTGCGGGGCCCTGCAGGTGCCATCTCAATGACATCACTTCCTGTTTTAGGTTTTTTTCTGCATGGTAGTTGCACCACATGACTTCTACATGAGTTTCTACTGGCAGTGGTTATATATATTACACAGGGCTGTAAAATGAATGAACACAGACCTATTCAGATTCAGTTTTATGAATAAATTGTACCAGTTTGACTGCATGGTCCAACTGGATCCTAATGATCCTGATTGATCTGAATGGCTGAGCTGTATGCTCAAAGCCAGCTCTTGCATAACAGTGTAGAACAATATACAAATATCATGTTGTGCTGGTACAAAAGCAACATTTGCATCAGATGGGATGTACTGTTGGTAATGGAAAGACTGACTTTACTCTATATGGATGGAACCAAAGTTTCCAAAAGGGGGTTTCGCCAGTAAATGCCATAAAAGAACCATTTTTGGTTCCCCAAAGATCCTTTCAGTGATCGGTATGATCTTAGTATGAAGAACATTTTAATATTCTAAAGAACCTTTTTTCCATTATAAGAAACCTTTTGTACAATGGAAAGATTCCATGGATGTTTAGGGTTCACGATGGAATCATACATGCCAATAAAGAACCTTCATTTTTCAGAAACTCACAAGCAATTGAAAAGATTGACATGCGATCCATGATGGTGTTGGCATCAGTGCAGCTGCCACGTCGTAGTCCGAATATCGAAATGTGACAGACCTTGAGACGACCAGACCCCGTTCATCTCCACAATAACAAACACTGTGGCCTAGAAAAACATTCAGGCTTGTTCACGGTTCCTCCACATCTATCTGAAGAGTGGCACGCGAGAGCTTCTGCTCAAAGCCACTGTGCTGATAAACGCCATATTAAACACAACAGACTAACTCACTGACAGAAACAGAGAAAGCACATCATAGTAGATTGGGCTGTTTAAACAGGCTGAATCGGTGCCTATTGATTGCATGACCTGCATTTACAATGGAACTGAATGCTCTGCAAAATACCTCATCCAAACATGGCCTTCTCTTTATCTGTTATTTAGGTCATCAGCAAAACATCGTATCCACCAGACATCCTTATTCACGGTAAATTAATAGAGGGAAAAAATTTAAAAGTTTTACGTGGGTGTGAACTACATAAAGTAAAAATTGCAAGGCCATCTCCCAAAACACTACACTGCAAAAAAGATTTTCTTAGTATTTTTGTCTTGTTTTCTAATTTAAAATCTAAACATTCTTGAATCAAGATGCATTTTCTTGAGAAGCAAAATGACTTATGATATTAAGTCTTATGTTCTAAAAAATGTATCTATATTATTTTTACTATTATATATTATACTATTTTTTTTAAATATTTTGTTAGTTCTTGCTTAAATCAAGAAAAAGTATCTGCCAATGGGGTAAGAAAAATTATCTTAATTCAAAGGCAAAACAATATTATTTTTGTGCCACATTGGCAGATATTTTTCTCTCTTGTTTAAAGCAAAAACTAAAAACATTTTGATATTTTTTTTCTGAAAACAAGACTTAATATCTTAAGCCATTTTGCATCTTCAAGAATGATTAGATATTTGTACTGAAAACAAGACAAAAAAATACTAAGAAAGAAAAAGAGAATTATATACATTAAAGTTTGGGGTCAGTTACAATTTATTTTACTTTTAAGAAAATAATATTTTTTATTCAGCAAGGATGCATTAAATTGATCAAAAGTGACTGTAAAGACATTTACAAAAGATTGTTACAATGTTGCAAAATATTTCTGTTTTAAATAAATAATCTTTTGAACTTTCTATTCAACAAAGAACAAAAAAATCTTTCACGGTTTCTACAAAAATATTAATCAGCGCAACAACGATGATAATAAGAAATGTTTCTTGAGCAGTAAATCAGCATATTAGACTGATTTCTGAAGATCATGTGACACTGAAGACTGGAGTAATGATGCTGAAAATACAGCTGCGCATCACAGAAATAAATTACATTTTAATATATATTCAAACAGAAAACAGATATTGTAAATTGTAATAATATTTCCACAATATTACTATTTTTACTGCATTTTTGATCAAATAAACAAGCCTCAGTGAGCACAAAAAAATGGTTTTAAAAAATGCCTAAAATTGTCTAAAATGGTAGCCCTTTATCTGTACTGAACTGGTTAATTAAAAAGCCTCCACGATATGGTTTACAAGCAAAATATGGTTTATCAGCAATGCTTATAAACAAAACTATAAAATGCATATTCGCCACAGAAATTTCCATGACCGTGTCATGTATATAAATATAAACTCATAATACTCGCACACGTGGAAGAAAACTACAGTAGCTTAACCATTAAAACTAGCATTGTCAACCTGCATCACCAGCACTGAACCAACATGTAAAACCATTCTGGGGTGTGTTTCTTCGAGAGCTGTAGTTCCAACCACGTACGTTTGCGAATGTTCGTTTGAACTATGGTTTCGGGAAACACCGAATCATTGAACTATGTTGGTAACGACAGAACTTGCGACCACAGTTGGTTAACGATGCTTTTAGGAAACCCACGCACCCCTGGTCGTTTTAGCAGGGAGCTTCCATAAAGTTCACCACATGTTTGTGTTTGTGTACCAGCTCAGTTCACTCACCCTCCGGGCCCAGCTGGGAGGTGCTTTGACTCTTCTTCCCCAGTCCCACCATGGCGGCCATCTTGGCTCCGAAGCTGGAGCGCCTCTTCTTGTCGTCGTCCTCGTCGTCGTTCCTGCCCAGCGAGCACATGTCTCCACCCACACTGGAGCTCTTGGTGATGTTGGAGCCCGGGGTGGCCGTCTGAGCCCTGTGTTTCATTTTAGATGTTAACTCACTGTCAGCCATGTCAGGTGCAGGAGATACAGGAAGAGGAAAGGAGAGGAGGACAGGGACAGGGACAGGGAGAGAGAGGAAGGGACAGGATTCAGCTACAGGATTTAGGAGAAGGGTGAAGGACAGACACACGGGTACAACATACACAAGACGGGACATCTACTGAGGAGCATAAGCGTGACCTGCATCTATGGAGAGCTGCAGGAATGATGTATTTTTGTATGCCAAAACCCAGAAATGAGTTACATTATAAAACGGATAGTTCCGGTCCTTGATTCTGATTGGTTGAGCCGCGTTCGAAGCTGTTGTAAATTACTCTACAAACATACACCTTTGTTTACATTTGTCTGTTGCTCGGCAACCACTTTGTTGCAACCACAACTGATTCTGAGGAACTACATTGTTTGGTGGAAGAATACCGTTTTTATTAATATCATTAATTTATTTGCGCTGTTTTATTCTGTGAAACCTTACTACGTATATGGAATAACCGTTTTATAAAAGCAATAAACCCTGTGAAGCCGTGGTTTACAGTGAATTTATAACAGCTAAGGGCGTTTTAGCTGTTATAAATTCACTGTAAACCACGGCTTCTTGGGGCTTATTGCTTTATTTTAGCACTGTCCTGAAGTCACCGGGATTTTTGAATGGGTTTTTGGTTGAATTCCTGAAATAAGGTCTGTGTTAACACAAACTCAAGAAATGTTCACATTTTATTCTACAACATAAAATACATCAGTAATACCCCTCTTGTGATTTTTTAAAGCTTTGCCTTTGTCTTGAAAAAGGTGTTAGCCGACAAGTGTCTAAATTGGACTACAGAGGTTATTGAGGACATTAAATATCATCACACCGAACAGATAAACTCATCTGATCACTAGTCGCTTTCACAGCCTCATTATGTTTATAATCTTGCTCTTGTAAACTATTCTGACTCAAACTTTCAGAGAAAATGTTTTTAAATAGAGATGGTGTAGTTTGTTTATAGCCTACTTGCAATTGTACTGTTGGTATACTAAACTAGTATAGTTAAAGTCCTTTAAATTGGAACAACTAATTTTGTACTTAATGCAGTTTAATTGTGCGAAAGTAATCCAACTAAAGCTGAACTGAAGTATATCTGATTGTGCTAAAGTGGAACTATTGCAAGTATACTTCAGGTACTGTACACTTTAAATATCTTGCATTTAAAGACCAATATTATACCGAAATCACAGAATCCTTATTAAACGTGTTTTAGATATTAAAACACATTTTATGCATAATATTAAGAAATGTGCGATAAAGAAAGTTTAATTCTAATTTTATATCACTAAGTCAATAAGTGTGTTAATGGATTTGAAGTGTACTTAATATGAAATAAATGCATTTTAATTTTTTTTTTTTTTTACTAGGGTAATGGTGTCATGAGGTGTAAAGACTGTGCTGCTGTGTCTATTTTGATCTGCCATAACAGACTGCTGTAAAAAATAAAAACTGCTCTAGTGTAAAGTCAGACTCTACACCATTAATTTAATCAATCAGAATTAACAATTTTAACTGAAAAGGTTGACTTTAGCATATCTTATAGAAAGGTCAGTATGTATAGAGACTGTAAGTATCTATACACAGAGACACAGTTTGCAGATAGCTTCTATAGTGACCTATTTAGATGACATGAGACAAGCTCTCGAGTCAAACACGGAGAAAATAATGAGACGGTGACTCATCAAACTCTCTTGAGAAAATATGAGAGGACGGCTTTAGGATACAAACATGAGATCTGATGCTGTGCCAGTGACCCGTCTTGACTAATAGAAACCACAGATTACTGTTCTGTTGGTTTTCTGTGAATGGCAAGTTTTTAGCTGATTTTTGTTTTCTGTGTAGGTTTGTATTTACCATATAAAATACTATTGGAGGAGACTTTTTCATTGACACTGAGCTGAAACATTTGTACGGCTGTGACGACAAAGATGAAGCTGTTTCTATGACAACTGTATCTACTAGCCTCATCTTTGCTCTGAATGTTAAAGTCTTCATCAGGCAGGATCACCTGACATTAAACACTGTAACACTTAGACACGGACTCAAACGTACGTGGTATTTATTATTTTAAATATGCCTCTACAACCTGATATTGCTTGTGATGTGGATATAAAAAGTTTTCAGTAAGTCCTATTATTGTAGCTGTACAAACAATTGTCTATAACTTGATAAAATAGTCTCAACACACGTCTATTCTTGAAATACTGTACTTGGAATTTTAGACAAGGTTTCTGAGCAAAAAAAAAGACAATTTTACGTCCTACTAATTTTCTCCCCAATCTGTGCTCTTTGTGTTTTTGTGTCTAAAGTTGGGATTCTGCAGAAGGAACTGCAGAGCAGTAGGTGCTACACAAGACTATAAACAAGGTTTTACTTACACAGTATAGTTAGTTCTTCTAGTGTTTAGGATTGTGATTACAATTGTGATTTTTGCATATTTTTGGACCTGGTTGAAGGTTTTGAGCTCTGAGAAATGCAGTATATGTTCATTGTGCATCAAGCACTTTTAGTTTATATGAACTCATGTAGTGACAAGTCTAAAGTTTTATACATATTGAAAGCATTGTATGTCTATATTTATATGGTCTGAACACTACAGTTCAAAAATGTGTGGTCAGTGAGGTGTTATTATTATTATTATTCAGCAAGGATGCATTAAATTGATCAAAAGTGACAGTAAAAAGTCAAAAGATTTATGTTACAATAATGTAAAAAAGTAGCAAAACTGTTTTCAACACTTTTAAAATCAGTTTTAAATCAGGGGTATTCAACTGAAATTCCAAGATATTTTTTGAAGAATTTTTTGGAATAGTTATAAATGTCTATCTGGGCAGCAGAAATACTGTCAAAATAGTCATCAAAGATATTAGACCCCTAGAGCCAAAGCAGTGGTGTCTGAAGATTTTTCTACAAAACAAAATAAAATATTTCAACATTTGAGCCCAATTGGATATGAATATTAAAAGGTAAGATCCAATGCTTTATCAGGCAATTATTATTTTTACATTTATATACCTACGGCAGAAGACTAAGTGACTTGAGAAAAGACACTTTATTTTTGTAGTTTTCCTCGTGAAGTCTGGACCATTTGATATTTTGCTTAAACTATAAACTAATTTCTACTAAAAAACAATGTACGAAATAATCAAAACAGTTTTACGATGAGCAGAAAACAAAGTTAAACTGGAACTTCAACGTTTCAGTTACATTTCCTTGCTGTCTACAAATAATTTTTCCAGTTACAACATGCTTTGTTATGAAATGCTTATATTAATAATGCTAAATGTAGATGAAGAAAACGTCTTGTCACAAACCCTGTTTATGACAGGAAACAATAATTGCATTTGCTGCATCCTGGTTTTCTGCAGTGTTTTAGCAAAAGTAACAACCTATTTTGCTGCTCACTGTGTCGTTGCTACTGTTGTTAAAATAACCGCGTCATCTGTAGCCCTTGCAGAGCTTTACGTCTTTAGCGGGAGATAGAAGCGATGCGCACAGAGAGTCAACGGGCTCTCACTTTAAACTACTGAAACGGAAAAATGGTGCTTCTGCTGTCATTATGTCTCACCATCCAGTTAGAACCACTATTTTAGGTAATAATATTGATCAAAATGACTGTTTTTACTGTATTTTTAATCAAATAAATGCAGCCTTCATGAGCAGAACAGAATCTTTTAAAAACATTACAACATTTTATAGACCTGTATAATGCCCTAAACTCCCACAGGCTCATAATATCATTCACACAAACTGGAGTTTACTGGAGTACTGGATCTCTAAGATGCTGACATGACCTGTGGCAGGAAAGGTGTGTGTTTTAAGTCTTGTCAGGCAAAAAAAGGCTAATTTGTCTTTGATGAGCCACCTCCATTTCATCTTTTCTTGGCACTTAACCTCAAGCTCTCCGGAAAGCAATGAAGAGGAGGAGCTGTTTGGGTCATAAGCTACGAGATACGACAGACAGGAAATGACCTTGCCTGGCTTTGACAACAGCATCTGACTCTATGAATGAGATTCCCCATCATTAACCCAACATAAATGACCAAAAGAGACATAAAATGTTTTCAGGAGCACGGCCGCTACTTTGAAATGACTGTAACCTAATAAAAATGCGGTCTGCAGTACTCAACATCTGTACAAGAGAGTCTCGGAGTGCTGGTTATGTAAAAACTCAGTTGCTAATTGCTGAAAAATTCCGTTAACGACATTAAAATTCTATTTGATCTTCTGTAGCGTTTTTAGTGATCACAAACACTTCATCTATATTCAATTAGTGACCCACAAATGGCACTGAAAACTTATTGAAGTGGAAATCGCTGGAAATGCTTGAGAACTGAAGCTTTTTTTTCTTGGTTCTGCTCTAATTGGAGTGGAGACGGCAGCTGTTCACGCGACTCTCCCCAGGGTCACTGAGACGACTGTGATATTATGTAAGACAAGCTCTTTTGGGACAGTATGATGAATTATATGGCAGTGGAGAGAGGTGTCATCCACAACTAACAAACTTTAAAGTGCATTTTGATTTTGGTCTAATCGAGAATTATGCTTTCTGGTTTAAACCTGTTTTTGATTTTGTTGTCTAAAAGCAAACAATGCTTCCCATAGAAGTTCAAATAAAATTAATTAATTAAATAAAAATAAAAACATAAAAATAAACATGAAATGTAATAAAAATAATAAATTCATTTGTACTTATATTTCATTTATGTATGTATTTATTTTTTCGTATTTTTGCTTAATTGACATTAAACATGCCGGCTAGCTTTACTGACAGCATTGAACTTATTTAATTTTTTTATTAATTTTTCCTGTGTTTTTTTAAGTATATAACAGAAAATATGATGCATAATTAAAAACGACATCACAATAAACATTAAGATCTTTCGAAGTTGTCTTTATAGCAAATAAACTAAATTATAACTAACAAAACGTTTTTGGTGAAAATTAAGTGAGAATTCTTCTTTCATTCATTATAGCTTATTTAGCTTTTGTTTATGGTGAAATGAATCTGTATAAAGCCAAAAGATATTATTATTAGATCCTGACCTATTTATAGTTTTGCCGATTTTATTGTCCGATATGAGCCTGTCGCAGATATATTGGCATTGGCGAATATGCCGCAGATCTGCCACCAACATTTTTTACAGAACATATAACGAAGATAAAATGCTTGAAATGGTGTAATTACTTAGTTTGTCCAGCAGGACGTGCTCCATAGTTTGCTACTGCCGACCAGCCAACTCTTTCACTTTTCACTCATTTGCTACATTAGTAGGGCCCTGATTTCCACATAAAAATGTGTTTATATATTCTGTTTATGTATATACTGTATTCTATATTCAGTACCAGTCAAAAGTTTGGACACACGAATGGGAAGTGTGTCCAAAATTTGACTGGTACTGTACCATAAAGGATATCGGCTGATATATCGATATCAGACTTTTTTTTACTCCTTAATATCGTATCGGCCCCCAAAAACCCATATCGGTCGGGCTCTAATTATTATACTGACCTACATTAAGTTACATTTTAGCTTATGTCTACAGAAAATATATTGCTTATGATCTTTAGAATAAATAATCTTTTTTACTTTGTATGAATATTTTTGTAAAATAAATATATATATTTAATAATATTTATAATAATAATTAATATTTCTCATTCATATTAAATCAAAATTTAAGGTTTCAATCAAACCTTAAATATAATTTGACAAAAACTATTACATTTGCCTGTAACGTTTTTGTATTTTTGTTTTGTTTGTCCAAAAAAAACTTTTTTTTTTCAGTGTGCTAAAAACTTGACATGCACACAAGAACGCATACTATGTAAATAAAACTATTTCCTAGCTCTCCTCATTCCTAAACTCTTATTTCATGAGATTTACATGGGAATACATCAGATATTTAGGCATGATCACACTAGCTGGAAGACACTAGCTGGGTTTATGAGACGCTTTGCATCTAACCTCTCAGGTTCCTCCTCTTCTTCCTCTTGCTCTGGGTTGACAGTAGCCCCACCCACCTCCCCATCATGCCCCGCTCCCTGTGCACTCGCTGTAGTGGCTTCCACCTGCTCTTCCACAGAGACAGCGCCCTCCTCTCCCTGACTCTGAAGAGCCTCCGCACGGCTGACACACACACACACACACACACACATATACACACATAAACCATGCCACGACACCATGAAAGGAAGCATGCAAGACAGAAAAGACACAGAAAAGACAGATATAAGCCTAGCAGACATGAGATGAAGAAAATAAAACAAACCTTGAGCAAAATAACAGTATGAAAATGTGAAAAATGAACTCTCTTTGTGAACAAGAGCGATTCTGTGACAGAATGATGCTGTCATATACCGTGAGATTCTCTTGAGAGTTTCAGTCCTTCTGTTAATGGCTGAATCTTTTATAACTAGTGAAAAACGTCCAATCCATATTTCAAAAGTACATTTTAGGCTATAAACACTTTTTGCATTGCAACATTCATGAAAAGTAAGCTTTTCTCCTCAAAATTATCATTCTCATTTGTGCGATATGAAAATATTTAATAATAAAATTTAATAATGAAAAAATCAATGAATTATTTTTAAAGAAATTAATACTTTTATTCAGCAAGGATGTATTAATGAAAATATTTAATAATAAAATTTAATAATGAAAATCAATGAATTATTTTTAAAGAAATTAATACTTTTATTCAGCAAGGATGTATTAAATTAATCAAAAGAGACTACAAAGTTTTTTTTTTAATTCTTACAGAAATTCTATTTCAAATAAATTCTGTTCTTTTGAACCTATTCATCAAAGAATTCTGAAAAAAAAAAATTGCAATGAATCACAGCTTCCACAAAAAATATGAAGCAGCATAACGGTTTTCAACACTGAAGCAGATCAGCATACTAGAATGATTTCTGAAGGATCATGTGACACTGAGGACTGGAGGAATGATACTAAAAACTCAGGTTTTGATCACAGGAATAAATTACATTTTAAAATATATTACAATAGAACATAAATGGCAATAATATTTCAAAATATTATTGTATTTACTGTATCAAATAAATGCAGCTTTCATGAGCATAAGTGAGTTCTTTCAAAACCATGAATAAATCGTGCCTTACCAAACTATATGAATTGCATTACAGTAAAAATAATTGATATGTAATTGAGAACTGAGATTTGTTTCCCTTTTGTTTTGAAGGTAAATACGAGTTGGACATTTCTTCTTGAGATTCACCTACACACGTTTGCTCAAAACCATGTGATGTGGTCTCAGTCATTGGTAAACACACTCTTGGCAAGTTCAGAGGTTCGGATCACTTCACAAGCAGACAGAGCCCAACCTGAACTCACCAGAAGCACAGTAAGTGTGTTCCTGACGGCAGACACATCCACAGCTATCAGGGTCAGGGGGTTTACTGTGCACTTACCTGATCCTGCGGCTCGCTCGCACCCTTTCTGACTGGACAGACATGTAGCTCGTGCTGCTAAGCCGAGATGTGCTCGACATAGCGGACACGTCGCTTACATCACTGTCCGACGACCTCATGGAGAGACTGTCCATCCCACGCTGTGAGGGGGGGGAAAAAACATGCTGATTATTACATTAAAATAATGCTGCACAGAACTGCCTTCTAAACAAGAACTGCATCAATCTCACAATTGATTCCTATAGAGTGCGTTAGTGCCCGCCCACCTTTTTCAGCAGCACTGGTTCCGGAAGTATTTTTCCCATTAATTGTTTCCAAAGAGATTTTTAAACAGCCTTTGTTGAGCAACATTACAAAATTTGATTTGCAGCAAAAAAAGTAAATGAAAATCGGACCAAAAGATGAAGGTACAAGACTGTGCACTTAACAAAAATTAAAAAAACTATCAAATTAAATTAGCTTATTATACATATAGAAACAACATATTTTAAATGTATTACAAACTGTGCATACAAATACAAATATTCAAGTGCTTTGAGAGCATATGGCGGCCGGCGCGATTACGTCATTTACGTTGCTTCATGGGAATGGGCGGAGCTAAAAATATTTTGCCGTAATTTGCCCACCCCAACTTTCTGATTGGTGGAATTTGCTGTAGAGCATCAGGGGTAATGTCGTTTTTCTAACATGAATTCCACTGTGTCAAACATGATTATTTGAAATAATGTGAACAGATGGATTCAACAAAAGCATATACAATCAATTAACAACCTCAGAGCTCACAAGAGGTCTGCCTGTAAAGGTTTACAAGTTATAATTAAAAATCTATTTCCCTATGGAGAAAATGAGTGACGTTTTTAATTCAGGAACCGGAATGCTGCACTCTAAGATGTTAGCATGCTGCTAAGCTAACAATAATACGCTAGTAATAAGCAAACCAATAGACTTTAGTCAGGGTACTGCTACACTGAATTTCTGAATTATATATCAGTATATTTCTGGTCAGGAGTTCCTGACTTCATCAACTATCTTTGATACATGTGATGCCACCTTATATTTTATGTTTGTCAGTCCTTATTTCCAGTGGAAAGTGTGTTAAATGTAGTCTAGGTAGTCAGCTCATAGGGTTTAAAACAGAACCAATAATTAAAATGTTTAGAAAAGTCACAAAAGATGCCATATTCTAGAACACACACCGCTCTCAGCTGTCAAAAAACGGATTTTATATAACTTATACAATTAATCAAAAGAGAACAGAGGACGGGAAGGAGATCAGCTGTTATATAACGACAGGATTCACAGCGCTCATCTTCTCTTATAGTAAACTCTACACGGATGCTATATTTCAGCAGTGTATCAGGAACACAGGTTTGACAGATACTTGACGCTTTATGTAACCATGAGAAACAGCTTGTGTGAGGACCTAAGCAGGCACAACATGATAAAGCAACAAACAGTAAATCCTTAATGCTAATCTAAAGAGTTTTTGTTCTCACTAACTGCAACCTTTTATTTGTCGTGCTGCACTGAGAAGCTCCGCCCACTGCAAAATCTCATTGGTCCAAAACTCATTTAACATGATGTGGCCACAAAAAGTACTTGGATACTGAAAAAAAAATAAAAAAAATTTCAGTGTCTTATTTAAGTTAGAAAATAAAACATTTCTCAATGTACACAACCTTTTAAAAGTTTGGGGTTGGTAAGATTTTTTACTTGTTTTTGAAAGAAGTCTCTTAATCTCACCAAGGGTGCATTTTTTTGATCAAATAAAAACAGTAATATTGTAAAATATTATTACAGTTTAAAATAACTGCTTTCTATTGTAATATATTGTAAAATGTAATTTATTGCTGTGATCAAAGCTGAATTTTCAGCATCATTACTCCAGTCTTCAGTGTCACACGCTCCTTCAGAAAATATTTTAATATACTGATTTGCTGCTCAGGAAACATGATTATTATCATCAATGTTGAAATTATTTGTATAAATTATCAGTTTTGTTCAGGATTTTTGATGAAAAGAAAGTTTAAAAAACTGCATTTATATAAATACAAGTATATTGTAACATTATAAATGTCTTTACTGTTACTTTTGATCAATTTAATGCATCCTTGCTGGATAAAAGTATTAATTAACTTTCTTTTTTTAATTAATGAATCTTACTCACCTCAAGCTTTTGAATGGTAGTGTAACATAGGTTGTAAATTACAGACTTAAAATGAAAAGCAATGGTCAAATGTAGTCAAATTTTAGTGAATTGTGTTAATGTTAATGTGATTCTCTAAACACTGATTGAACACCAGTGTGAACTTGAGATAAACTGACGTCAAACATCCACTAGATATTACCAAAACATCAGTTTATTAAAAATGTTTGCACAAATTGCTAATCTTTCGCATCCAAATGTCTTTTGGACCCACTGGATCCATTTTGCTTTGAGAGGAACTTCTCATTGCACCTGGTTGGGACACAGTGTAACGGTGGTGAAACTTTATATCAGCTGAAGAGTTCATTCCTTAGTGTCTGCCAGCTATTCTCAACTTCTCCACTGGTGACAAAGACCAAACGACTGGCATCGGACATGTTTGTAAATGTGCTTAAAATATCAAGGGAGTTGTGATCCATTGGCTGAGACTTCTCCTCTCCGAATGAAGTCACCATGAAGAAAAGCTCCTCTATTCCCAAATAACTACTACTGCTTTACTATAGAAGGACACAAAACACTGAGGAAATAAACTCAAGCAATAAGAGAAAGAAACATACCCTTGATGGATCCTTCAAAGTGCCTGTGTGGAAAGACAAACAAGGGTTAGATGCACTGAAGCACAGCATGTGACACTGCATTGTTGCTTGTTACATACAAATACACATCAGCAAACTTCAAAGTGACACACGGCTCACATAAACTTATATGGACCGCATTTTTCAACTGTATCTGATCCAGTCAACCCAAATAACCAGAAAGAAAACATAATGCCAGTAACCGGCAGAATGAAAACTGATTTGACCAGTTATTCAAAGTAACTTCTCTGTTTTATGAACATGTTTGATCAGCAGATTGAACAGCCATCACAGATTCTGCAAGACTAAAGAAGAGACTGCATCTTTAAATCTTGTGCTGTATGTCTACTAAACATTTCCTTTGTTAAGTTTTAGGAGTACACTTGCATATACTGTACTGTAGATAAGCTCAAAACTAACACATGAGCTCATAACGCAGCAATGAACAAAAAGCCACAAAAATAACGAGTTCACAGAGTCCCCAAGGAACTGATTAAAAAAAAAATTATAAGCTTTTGAACTTTTATCACACATATTCAATACAACTCATCAACCAACACAGGGAACGCTCATATTTCAACACTTGGTTTTAACACTGATGCCTTGGATGTTTGGAATGATATAGCTGTAAATCATTGAATTCCACATGTTTTAAAATATCAACATTAATGCAATGAATTACAACATATCTAATCGACTTCTGTCTGGAAGATACAACATGATATCCCGCCCAATTGCTACTCAAAACTAGCCCATAACTAGCCCAGTTGCATTTAGAGGGGGGTCAACCATTAAAAATTGCATTCCGGGGGCTAAAATACAGGGTTTTTTTGGTGGGGTTCCCCAGTAAAATTCGCATTTCAGTGGCTAAATATTGTGTTATTGGGGTCACTTCAACCTGCGGCAACAGTGTTAAAGTAGCCCAATTCTCCGGGAAAACCCCGGACTTGGCAACACTGTAACTAGGCCAGTAACCTCAAAGGCACAACAAAGGGACAACCATCTTTACTCCTATAGCCCAAAGTATACGTTGTTTTTGTACGTGTACGCTAGCGTATGCGTACAGTCAAATGTGTAGCCTTTCAAAGTGTACTCCACTTGATAGTGTGCATGAACTCAGGCAGATGACACATATACGCTCTAGAAAGCTTCGTCTTTGTCCAGCGCCTGCGCTATTTTTCTCCAGAAGTTATGACTGATGAAAATGTTGTTGTACTGTTTTAAAATAAAGTTGCGTCTGTCTCATAACCCCCTCACAAAGCGCTTGTCAATGCATCTTTCTGTTGTTGTTGCAGTCTCCGTAATGTTGTTGCTGTTCCATCTCTTTAGTTTAATTTTCTACTGTGAAACAGCAGCTCGAGCCAGTGCTGCCACCTTGTGGAACAACTGATTCGTGCAAAACACACTTAATGTGCATGTGCAAACTGCGCATACAAAGTAAATCGGGTGGTGCGTGTACTATTCTGGTAAAAAAAATGGCAAAGTATACTTTGTTTTTACGAGTATGCAAGGGTCTGCGTACAGTGCGCGTGACGCAATTTCATCACCAGAATAGTATGTGTACTGTACACACAGCATCCGATTTTTGTAACCGCACATACTTTGTACGCACAGTTCGCATTGAGTTTGTTTTGCACTAATCAGTTGTTCCACAAGGTGGCAGCACTGGCTCGAGCTGTTGTTTCATCGTACAAAACGAAACTAAAGAGATGGAACAACATCAAAACAGCGGAGACTGCAACAACTACACCCACATTGACAAGCGCTTGTGTGAGCGGGTTGTGGGATAGACACAACTTTAAGCTAAAAGAATACAAAGACATTTTTAATGGTCATAACCTCTGGAGAAAAATAGCGCAGACACTGGACAAAGATGAAGCTTTCAACTGCCTGCATTCACGTACACCTGAAATGGACTATATTTTGAAATACTTGGGCCTAAATTTGCGTTACATGCACTGTACACAGACTAGTGCTGGGCGGTATGACCAAAAATTTATATCACGGTATTTTTCAAAATTATACCGGTTTCACGGTACATGACGGTATTTTTTTTTTATGCATGACCGTGTGTTAACCGTATTTTTTACTGATTGAGAGAGGAAATACTGCAGTATATTGACTTAGAATGCCCTATTTTACTATCATGATTAAAAATTCATATCATAACAAAAATAAACACCGGTATTCGGTATGAACCGGTATACCGCCCAGCACTAACACAGACCCTTGCATATACGTAAAAGCCTAAGTATTCTTTGGGCTTAAAGGGTGCATATTAGTACATTATATTAGTAATGTACCCTTAAGGTAATAATGTGCACTCTAATGGTACTATTATGCACCCTTTAGTGGTTAAGAAGATGTCTTTTTGAAGGAACTGCCCCAGTGATAAGCTGTTGTACCCCTCAAAGTACACTTCTTGCAAGTTAAAACTTGCACACTTTAAATAAACTCTTTATACAAGACCGTTCAAAAGTTTGAGGCCAGAAAGTTTAAATGTTTTTTTTTTAAAGTCTCACCACTGGTTTTACTGTAGTAAAAATACAGTAATATTGTGAAATATTATTGCAATTTAAAACAATTGTTTTCTATTTTTCAGGATTCTTTGATGAATGGAAAGTTCAAAATAACAGGATTTAAATAAAACAGAAGTAGTTTATAACAATGTGAAAGTATTTACTGTCACTCTTGATCAACTTAATGCATCCTTGCTGAATAAAAGTATGAATTTCTTTTAAAGAAACTGACCTCAAACTCTTGAACTTTTGTGTAGTTGCGATGTTTTAAACTCTTTTAGCAATTCTACCCAATCATATACACTGCTTATTCCAGCATACACACACACACACGCACACACACGCGCACGCACACACACACGTACACACGCACGCACACACACGCGCACACACCCACACGCACACGCACACACGCGTCTCCAAAGGTTGTTTTGAAGGGCTTTATGTTGGTGCTACACAAACTCAATCTGTATACAATACCTGCATCTCCATTCTCTGACACTGTTGACTCTGACACTACAGCTGATGTGTGGATGAGAGGAAAACAAAAGTTTAGACAGACACACAATGTGATGATGGACACACACTCTCACACACAAACAGAGTTTAGATGAATTTCATCCAGAAACTCATCACTCCTAACATGCCGAAACAAACGTAAAACAGATCTGAGAAATCCAACACCAAAAAAAAAACAACCCTTTAAAAGATGTAAAGCATCAAAACAAAGAACTGATGCATACTTTGAGCGAAGGTTAATGAAATACATAAATCTCAAACACACACTACAGACAGACCACCATCGGTAGCCTATTTTCCCCACTACATACTACAAGCAATGCTACAATTTACAAAGCATTTATAATCACTCACATGCTATTGTCTCAATTCGGCTCTCATTTAAAGTTTCATTTGAAAAGCAAAATCTTATAAAATGACATTTACAACAAAAAGGCCATTATCAGTTCAGTAGCTTTCCAAAATCCCACAAGCCTCCACTTTTCCTATTTTAGTGCTGTAAATGTAATGATTCATGTAGTTTATTCTATTGTTCTGCTTTTCATATTTACTTCAATTGTAAGTAATAATAATTCCAGAAACGAAAACGTACATTTTTGTGTATCATAAGGTATCGGTGAGAACTGTTCGTCTCAGCATCAATAAAAGTGTGTTAATTAATTCATGTAAATGACTAGGAATGTGGCCTTACGTCTACCTCAAGTTGCTATAGTGACGCCAAAGAAAAACTAGCAGTTCAATTTGATGTCTCTACTTGAACCTTCAGAAGGTTCAGTCTAAGCAAATAACACAGCAGCAACAAGAGCAGCGAGAGCAGAGAGTGAAGAGCAGAAATCTAGATCCCTCAGAAGCACACTAGGATTGATCTACTCTACTAAGGGCCGATGAAGAGCACAGGTTGTGCCATACCAAGAGCTTTCTTCTGCTGGTCCTCCCATGTCACCTCTGAAGTTACAACACAAGTAGAAACAATCAATGCTCCTGCTTAACAAACCTGTTAATTAGATGTGCGTAGTACAGGCCTGCAGAGTGCACATACTGTATAAGGCACATTTAAGCATGTCCAATTTACAATTTTGCACAATTAACCCTTATAGTGTTAAAAAGTTATTTTTTCTCTAAAATGAAAAAAAAATATATATATTATTTCACTTGTACTAATTAATTAAAAAATAACAGGAAACAAAAATTTTATTTTAGTAATTTATATAATTTATTTATTTTGTATATATTTTATATAAAAATACTAAAAAACATAGCTTTAGTTCTAATTATGAAAGTGAAGCTGATTTTTTATTGAGTATAAATAAAAAATATTTTTTATTTACTGATTTTATTGATTTTTTATACATTATTGATGGCTATTGAGCCATCTACATGTGATTGAAGGTATTCAGTTTACACATGGGTACAGTGGCTTAAAAAACATAATAATAACCAATTATTCTTATTCTTAAATTAATATTAGATCCCACATAACTAGAACAATAGTGCAGCTTGGTGTGAAACCAGAATTTCTAAACATTTTCAATAACAAAATATGTTTCTTAATGGCATCACCAACACAATCATAGCATACTATACTATATATCTGATGACACCCGTATAAACAGTAAGTACTGCAAATGTATACAACATCTACTTGTACTAAATCTATCCAGCACAAACACGCAGTAAAACATCACAGAGAGATTCACACGCTCACACACACTTGCCTTTCCTCCCATTGACAGCTGGGGGAGCTACAGGCTTTTCCTGGGATTCTTGTGTGGGAAACGGCACACACATAAACAGAGGGTGAATCGAATGATCAGTGTGTCCCACAAACACACAGGAACACTCTAACCAAGTTAAAACACACACACATGCTCACGCTCAAGAGAAGTTACCAACACTATTAAAATAAAGTAAAATAAATAAATAAATAAATATTGCTGTAAGCTAAATAAATGATGTAAAGAAACAGGCACTCAGACCATGTGCAGAACAGCATACTACTCCACTGTTTTTGTGCAGTGTGCAGTTTCTAGCATACTACTGACTGTATTATTGAAATAATCGCAAGCAGTATACAGTGCATAGGGCCCTATGATTTCTGCAATGCAGAAAATGAATACAGAATCTATAATATATAATGGAATTTACTGTATAACGCAGAATGTCACAGCAAAGTTTGGATTAATAAATCAAAAGTAGGGCTGTACAGTTGAAATCACGATATGGACTCAAATCTGTGAATATTAAACAGCAAAAGACTGTCATTTAAATATGAAGTGTGCATGTTCTGCTTGTCTCTGTCTAATATACATACTGAAGCACGCATTACGCATTTATGAATTCAACTGATTACCACAGTTTTTGACAAAAAAAAAAAAAAAAATGAAACCATTTAAAAAATTTAAATGCAATTTATAGAAAAAAAACAACAACATTTCATTGGGCACTATTACTGTTAAATTTTTAAAGCTGCAGTCCGTATCTTTTGGCGCTCTAGCGGTTAATGAACAGAACTGCATGCGTCTTGCAGAAGAACATTGAGACTGGAGCTACTTCTCTCTGTTTATGTCTATGAAGAATCACGCAGGTACCGGGCTACTCCGCAGCGGTTCCACCAGAACCAGTCTGAAATATAAAATATAAATCCGAATATAAAAACTACTTATAGGTGTACTGTAGTGATTCAGGACAAACCAAAAACACGGTTTGGAAAATGGATTCATGATGTACTCGCTTATTATATAAATTTAGTACATTTTGAACACAGAAAAATTACGGACTGCAGCTTTAAATATATTTTAAAAGTTTTATGAATTCAACTGATTAACACTTCTTGATTATTCATATTTAAGTAAACCATTAAAATAATTAAGAAAAAATAAGTGTATACTGTGCAGTATGCAGTACACTAGTATTTATAAGAACCTAAGTGTATACAGTGCAGTACGCATTAAGCAGTACACTAGTATTTGTAAGGCCCTAAGTGTATACCGTGTAGTATGCATTAAGCAGTACACTAGTATTTGTAAGGCCCTACGTGTATACAGTGCAGTACGCATTAAGCAGTAGACTAGTATTTGTAAGGCCCTAAGTGAATACAGTGCAGTACGCATTAAGCAGTACACTAGTATTTGTAAGGCCCTAAGTGTATACAGTGCAGTATGCATTAAGCAGTACATTAGTATTTGTAAGGCCCTAAGTGCATAACGTGTAGTATGCATTAAGCAGTACACTAGTATTTATAAGGCCCTAAGTGTATACAGTGCAGTACGCATTAAGCAGTACACTAATATTTGTAAGGCCCTAAGTGTATACAGTGCAGTACGCATTAAGCAGTACACTTGTATTTGTAACGCTCTAAGTGCATAATGTATAGTATGCATTAAGCAGTACACTAGTATTTATAAGGCCCTAAGTGTATACAGTGCAGTACGCATTAAGCAGTACACTAGTATTTGTAAGGCCCTAAGTGTATACCATGTAGTATGCATTGAGCAGTACGCTAGTATTTATAAGACCCTAAGTGTGTACATATTAAGCAGTACACTAGTATTTGTAAGGCCCTACGTGTATACTGTACAGTACTGTGCAATACGCATTAAGCAGTACACTAGTATTTGTAAGGCCCTAAGTGTATACTGTACAGTACTGTGCAATACGCATTAAGCAGTACACTAGTATTTGTAAGGCCCTAAGTGTATACTGTACAGTACTGTGCAATACGCATTAAGCAGTACACTAGTATTTGTAAGGCCCTAAGTGTATACTGTACAGTACTGTGCAATACGCATTAAGCAGTACACTAGTATTTGTAAGGCCCTAAGTGTATACTGTACAGTACTGTGCAATACGCATTAAGCAGTACACTAGTATTTGTAAGGCCCTAAGTGTATACTGTACAGTACTGTGCAATACGCATTAAGCAGTACACTAGTATTTGTAAGGCCCTAAGTGTATACTGTACAGTACTGTGCAATACGCATTAAGCAGTACACTAGTATTTGTAAGGCCCTAAGTGTATACTGTACAGTACTGTGCAATACGCATTAAGCAGTACACTAGTATTTGTAAGGCCCTAAGTGTATACTGTACAGTACTGTGCAATACGCATTAAGCAGTACACTAGTATTTGTAAGGCCCTAAGTGTATACTGTACAGTACTGTGCAATACGCATTAAGCAGTACACTAGTATTTGTAAGGCCCTAAGTGTATACTGTGCAGTACGCATTAAGCCGTATACTAGTATTTATAAGGCCCTACGTGTATACTGTACAGTACTGTGCAGTACGCATTAAGCAGTACAATAGTATTTGTAAGGCCCTAAGTGTATACTGTGCAGTACGCATTAAGCAGTACACTAGTATTTATAAGGCCCTAAGTGTATACTGTGTGGTATACATTAAGTAGTACACTAGTATTCCATTCCAAACATAGGCAGTGTGCTGGTGTTCAGCTCATCTGCATTGACACACCTGGCACAGAAGCCTGCGAGACGAGCGGTGAGGATGATGATGGAGCAGCAGGAGGAGGAGGAGGGGCGGGAGCAGGAGCTGGAGGGGGAGGAGCATGCACTGGAGAGGGAGGGGCATGTGTGGGTGGGGGAGTGGCAACTGAAGAAGGTGGATGGGCGTGTGCAGGAGGGGGAGGAGCATGTGTAGGAGGCGGTACGGGGCCATGGGTGGCAGCAGGGCCCGGGACAGGAGACTCCATCCCCATATGAGCTTTGATGATGACAATGAAGACAACAGGATTGGCAGAGACAGAGTTGTGGACAAAAAGACAAAAAGAAAATTAACGAGAGGATCACATGGATTAATATTTATAAAATGTATTGATGCATCGAGAGAGAAAAAAAAAAAAAGATCATAAGCCTTAAAATAGTTACAGGCTACTATAACAGATATTGTTAACCGAAACTTTGACATGAGAAAAAAGCAGTGTCCATATGAAATTATACACTTTAACTTATTTATTATAGTTTTATTATAGTTTATCATATTTTCTTGTGATATAATATTTACTATTTTCATAATTTATAATAATGCAATTTCCCAGAATATTTTTATTAGCTTTATTATTTGGAGAAATTTTTTTTTTTCCAACTCTGAGCTTGTGTAATATGTAAACTGTTGTTCAAAAGTTTGGGACTTTATTATATATATTTTAATGGTTTTGAAATAAGTCTCTTATTATCACCAAGGCTGCAATTTATTTGATAAAAAATACAGATACATTTCTAATTATTGCATATAAATCTTTTGTAGAAATTTAAAAGTTTTTACTGTTACATTTGATTAATTTAATGCAACCTTGCTGAAAAAAAAACCTTAATAACCACAAATTTTGAACAGTAGTATATAGACTTGCATATAACAGGTTATATAGTAACTTAACAAGTGGCAGGAAAAATATCATATTTTATAGAATACCGTTATTTCAAACAAAGTCTAATTTTCAATCAGCATTTTTTATTTTGGCACAACACCGATAAATATAAGATGACACACACACACACACACACACACACACACACAAGGCAGTTTGTGCCACTGTATTGTTATTTTTTTAATTTCTTCTAAAGTTTTTTTTTTATTATTATTTGTTTATTCTTATTATTTGATCAAATGGCTATCTTTGCTATGTATTACCAGCCATTGCTTGTGTGCCTTGTGGAGGTGGAGGGGGTGGGGCCAGGGGTTGTGAAGCCCCTCCCACCGCTTCAACATTCAGACAGAAATGAGAGAAGGAAAGACAAACAGAAGTATGCCATCAGACATGGAGATGAGAAGAACAAAAATGTGAAAAGAAAAGCTAAAATAATGTTCTATGCTAATTTACTCCACTTGGTCACTAAACATACTAACTACTGTATGCTACAGTAACCTCAAATGCAAATATAATTTTGCAAACTGAATAATTCAATAATATAAAAGTGTAGAGACCCACTGAAATGTACTATACATAGTCTATCAACAAACTTTGATGTAAATGGCAGAATATCAAGATCATATTTGCATTTGACTGACGATAAGCGTCCTATGTGTCCTAAATATAAGTTACCAGCCAGAGTCTGTGGAAGCTGGTACAGAACAGGGGGCGGAGCAGGAGGCTGAGGTACCGCCCCTGTTCCTGCTTCATTGGTTGATGAGTTGTGCCAATCAAAAGAGAAAACAAACCAAAACATCACTAGGTCACTAATAAACCGTGACTATCACTCTGTGACTGAGAGAATCACTGCTAGAAGTAGACTGCCATTTCTAAAACACAATATAAATATATATTCGTCTCTCAACATTGCTCTTATGCCAATGATTAGGTTGCAGAGCCGCTGCTATAAACATACCAGAACTTAGCCTGGCTATTCTGCAACTTAAATGCTGCCAGAAGATGCTACTAACATTAAAAGTCTGACATAAATTGCTTTTACCCCAACAAATTTCAATAAGGGCACACTGATTTATATGGAAGCCTGTTTATGCTATAGAATAAAGATACAAAAAAGGTAATTGCAATGATTTATCAATTTATATCTCATAATATTGAGTTAACATATCGCAATTCAGACTTTTATCTCAGAATTTCTAGTTATCTTGCAATTTGGACTTATCTCCCAGAATTGAAAGTTTGGAACACAATTCTGACTTCATTTCTCACAATTCCAAATCCGTGTTTTGCAATTTTGAGTGAAAATCTTGCAATTCTGATTTTCCAAGAAAACAGTACTAATTGTGAGACATAAAAATCACAATGGCAAAAAAAAAATAAAGTCAGAATCGTAAGATAAAGTTAAAAATTACCTATTTTATTTCATGGCAAAAACAGCCTTGGGTACTTTTGATATCCACTGTAGCAGATTTGGACATTAATCCAGACATAGACGAAGTACATAGACTACACAGCATACATCTATAATGATACACGTACAGCACTGCTGATTGCGCTAACATGGCTGAAGCACAAATTAAAACATCTGTTCACTCCACTAAATGAACGGTGGAAGCTAGACCAACGACAGGTAAAGCTCACAGGTTGAATCAAACAGAGGAGATGATAGAGCTGTAATAAAGAAGACGGAGACGAGGCTAAACACACAGAAGCTAGTGCTTACAGACCTTCATAAGGCTCGGTAATGCCCTCGCCATCTTCTGGGGAAAAAAACAATCCATGCTGTGTTATGCAAAGGAGAATTCTATTATTCTATTGTTACACAATATTCTTTACTTGACTGGTTGTTTATGCATAAGCCATTTTTTTGTGATAACTATTGTGCAATAGTAGTTGTTTGCTTTCCTTGTTTGTTGGACTTCTGTCAGTTACCCAATGGAAAGGTTACTCTTATCGTCCACATAAACGCATCTTGTGACTCTAAACCTGTCCAATTATACAAGTTTTCCACTCAAGCGCCACAAACCTTGCAATTTGGTAGAAGCCTAGTTGATCTACTCACTTCTGTCCACAGAGCCCTTCGGTGGGACTTGCGGTAGCTGCCGACCTCTCCGACTCGATACTGGCGTGCTGGTGGGACTTGTTTGGACCGATCCAGTGCGGATGTTTGCCCTGCGGGACAGATGGCGTGTCAGGAATGAACATATAGCATTTTATCTAAAGAAGTGTTGGTGGTCGAGTCATAAACCTGGCCAAAACACTGTTAGACTAATGCAGAACACGCTGGTGAGAGGACACTAACACAAACAAACCTACTAACTATGGTTATATTGGGAGTGGCATCATTTAATGAGACAATAGTGTCAGAAAACACATTCCACTCAAATGCTATAAAAAGGGACACATACTTTGTACTATTAAACAAAGCAAGTCAATATTTGGCACAGTTTTTTTTCTGTGGTTAGTAAGAAACTTTTGGGGGAAGTAAAAACATTTGGTAAAATATGTCCTGTAGAGGTACATCAACATAAGCTGTACAGCAACCCAGATAAGACTGTAGGTGAATCTCAAGTCATATTTCACTCCAATATCAAGAGATAAATTAGAATTTTTTTCATATCATCAGCAAAGCCTATTTTAGCCTATATATACACTGCCGTTCAAACGTTTGTGATCTGTAAGGTTTTTAATGTTTTTTTAGTCTCTTAAGGCTGTATTTATTTGATCAAAAATACAGTAAAAACAGTGATATTGTGAAATATTATTGCAATTTCTAATATTGATTTCCTATTTTAATTTACTTTAAAATATAATTGATTTCTGTGACTTCGGAGTAACATGATCCTTCAGAAATCATTCTAATATACTGATTTATTATCAGTGTTGAAACTGTTGTGATGCTTCATATTTTTTTGGAACCCGCCACACTTTTTCTTTAAATCTTTGATTAATAAAAAGTTAAAAAAGAACAGCATTTATTCAAAATAGAAATCTTTTCTAACAACCCAAGTCTTTACTATCACTTTTTATCCATTTAACACATCCTTGCTGAATAAAAGTATTAATTTCTTTAAAAAAGAACGAAAGAAAAATAAAAAAACTTCACTGACCCCAAACTTTTGAATAGTAGTTTAATGTATATTGTAACAAAACATTTCTATTTTGAATAAACACTGTTCTTTTTAACATTTTATTTATTAAAGAATCCAGAAAAAAATGTATCACAGGTCCCAAAAATATTAAGCAGCACAAGTGTTTCCAACATTGATTATAAATCAAGATATTAGAATGATTTCTTGAAGGATCATGTGACACTGAAGACTGGAGTAATGATGCTGAAAATTCAGCTTTGCTTCACAGGAATAAATTATGTTTTAAAGTATATTAAAATAGAAAACGGTTATTTTAAATTGCAATAATATTTCACAAAATTACAGTTTTTTGTATTTTCGATCAAATAAATGCAGCCTTGATGTGCATAAGAAACGTCTTTAAAAAACATAAAAAATCTTACTGATCCCAAACCTGTGAATGGCACTGTACATAAATTGTAATGTTTTACTAGTGTAAAACATCTCAGGTTACGTATGTAACCCTAGTTCCTCGAGGGAACGCAAACTGAATTACAGTAATATAAAGTTTTTTTGTTTTTTTTGTAGTAAAATATGACCTAGCATGTTCTTGACAGCATTATTTTGTCAGAAAAAAATATCTAACCATAAAAGAGCATGCATTTAATAAATATGTCACGGTCATGTGCATTTTAGCCACGTAAACATACAAATACATCCGTGTAAAATGCACATCAACTCCACAGTAAACACAATGATCTTTAAAGCACCTTTTGAGCTCAGTGTCACATCAGCTTTCCGTACATGTGGCTCACGTCTCTAAATCAACTGTGGCACATCCAAAAGCTACCGCATCAGTGACAGTTCATGCGCAAATCTGACACATTCATGTCATTTCCTAGTGACTTATGACGTGCGGGGCAAACCGTAAGTCAAAAGGTGTTATGGCGTCTCAAAAGGTGTGATGGAATCAGCATCAGGAGAGGTGCTTGTGGCGGCTAAAGCTGCAAGGAAAGTGAAAAGGCCTGAATGCATGAGCACACGGCACGCATAACAGCCCATAACTCAAAGCGTAAACTGTTAAACAACAAATAAAGAATGTTAGTAACACACACACACACAAAAATAAGTCAAAACAAAACTGTACGATGCCAGGTACACACCATTATATCTCAAGAGGATATAACAGGTGTGTCTATAATCCAAATGAAAAGACGTTAGTAGTAACCATCATCACTACTCTCTACTCTACAAATGAAGGTAAAATCATAAACAGCATCGTTACACAGGGTTAAAATAAGAGGAAGTGGAGAGAGGGGCATTCCAGGTGACAGGAAGCAGAAGGCATGGGTTCGTTTAGCGCTTTAGTGCTTGTTGTGATGGGTCGGGTCACCTCGTTAAGGCAGGAGAGGGAGGGGCGGATCTCCCTGACGGTAAGGACGGCATGGATCTCATGTAGCCGGAGTCGGGCCGCTCGGACGAGCGGGAGCGCGTGTAGACTGGTCGCTCCATCATGGGCCGCTGGTCAGCTGACCTGGACCTGTAATGCTCATGTCTGTCCACCATGCTGCGGCTATACCTGCAGAATGTTAGTCAAAAAGCCACGCTCAGCCGAGCCCCAGTGCATCATGGGATCACAGGATGTCTCAGCTGTGAAATGTCGTGGCTTTGCTAATAATTAGCACACCAAACAAAAGTGGATTTGAGTTTCAGCATTGGCTGCTCAGGGAAGGGAGATTTACCAAACGGAAACAACCAAAAATAAGTGTAAACCAACAAATTGACATGAAACAAACAAACAGAAGCTTCTGGAAGCTGCTGCAAAGAAAACAAGTCAACACATTTCATACCAACACAACTATAAGCCCCGTGACTACAGTCTACTCTACTCCTATATACTCTATCTATGGGAGTGCTTGCACAAATTCTGCTGTATTACCTCAGATCTTCCTCATAGTGTTCATGGTTAGCTGGGAACTCTGGGATATTGTCCTCTCTATGGATGTGCGTAAGAGAAGAACATAAAATGCTCATTTAGAAGCTCTTATAACTGTCAGTAGTTGCTAAACAGCCTTATTATACAATTTACCCTTGTGAAAAAGTATTGCATGTGCACTTGTTGTGTACCTCAAGTCTTAAAGGTATACTTCTAAAAACTACTTGCAGATAATATAATATTAATTAAATGAAAGGCCACTTAAGTGTACTTAAATAGAGACACATTCATGACCAGTGCTGGGGAAAGTTACATTTAAAAGTAATGCATTACAATATTGCGTTACTCCATAAAAACAACTTACGTTACTTATTTGTAAAGGTAACTTTATGTGTTACTAACTAGTCGAAAAAAGTAATCTGATTAGTAACTCACCTTACCCCAACACTGTTCGTGACAATGATTCTTAACACACTTAAGTAGACTTTTAAAAAGTGCACTTTGTAATAATGTCAAATTAGAAGTTTTACTTTAAAATATATTTAAAATAATTGTTTTAATAATCTTTTCTCATGTTTTAAATGTAAAAAATTGCACCTCTATCTAATTACAAATATATTTAAATAAAATACATACAAGTTTTAATAGTGACATTAAATTTTAGTAGTTATACTTTAACCATATTTCAAAGTCAGAAGTAATTATGAAATTACATATAAAGAGGTACTTAAGTCCTACTTGAATAGGTAAAAAGCACTCTGAAGCTCAACTAATTGCATTTAATATACATTTAAACTATAATATGTTTTCATTTAATTGCAATTAACATGCAATTAAGTGTCTGAAAACAATGCATTCAGTTCACACTTAAGTATTTTTTGTAAAGTACAATTTTTTGTAATAAGTACTTTTTCACAAGGGTATACTGATAAAATACAGTATAGTGTACTGTTCGAAGTGAGATTCAGTTACTAGTTCAAAGTTACTAACTAAAACGAAATATAATTACATTCTAAAAGCTAGCTACCGTACTAAGATTCTAAAATGTTTCAGCTATGCTGCTGTGAGTGCTAGTGACGTTTATGAAATCTTCTATTATATAAGACGCCATTTTCAAGAATATCGAGAACATTAAACACTTCTGTAAAAATGTAAAGGTCACAGGAAAACTACAGCATCTAAATCCAACTTGAGTCTGCACTGAAACTACTGCATTTCTTGTAATTATACCTTTCTGCATCTGTAGAAGGCTCAATTTCTATCCTGGGGCACGTCCTACTGAAAAAACCACCTCAGTGTGTTAGTGCCACACTTAGTACATGATATTAAGCATGTATTTGCTTAAAAAGGTATAAACAGGTCAGTAAAGTAAATAAATAAAATAAACTGGAGCCTCGGATCCATTACTGCCATCCATTACTAGACAAAGCCTCAGTGGGAACATAAATGTGGCATCTGTTCCAGGCAGTTGATAACAGATGAGAAAAGAAAGACTGAGGGTTTGTGATGTTTGTGATGTGGACGTTTATCTCTTCAGAAGTCTTACCTGTAGTCTCCACCGTTTCCATTCGTGACATGATTGGGCCATGGAGTAGATACATGATTGGGCCCATTGTAATATCTTTAAATGGAGGATGAGGATTGATAGATTGGAATGAAGAAAGGAAAGTATGATTAGAACGAGCAACAGCTGAATCAGGGCAAGGGGTGAGGGTTAAGTCTGTAACTAGTATAAAGCAGTCCTATTATGGATGCATGAACAGAATGCATGTCTCAACTAAAGTATCCGGATTTTACCTCTCAGGAGATTCATACGAGTCACTGTAGGCAGACATTTGTCTATCTCTCCTCATCCTCCTGAACACAAAATAACACACAATCAGATCCTATGTGCCAAACATAATTCGACCTGCCAAAAATGAAGTCCAGCGCAGCCCTAAGGTGCTGTGGATTCACATTTCCTCATTCATTCATTCTCATGATATGGTTTGATATATCACTTGCTATTTTTCCAAGATAATTGGACATTAAGATAACGGGACATTTACGGGTCACACTTTTGTTTGGGGACCAAATCTCACTATTACCTAACTATTAACTTTGACTTTTGCCTCAATATACTCCTAATTACTGCTTATTAATAGTTAGTAAGATAGTTATTAAGTGTATGTATGCGGTTGGATTAAAGGATCTAAAATATGGTCATGCAGAATACTGGTGTGTGCACACCAAAAGCGAAGCGAATATTTGCATCGCGTTACTCGCTCTAGATTACTTGTGGGATGTTTTTCATGTTACTCACGCGAATAAAAACATAAAAACAATAAAAACTGTTTTCTGATAAAAACCGGATGTCAACAAGCTTTCTCTGATTGGCTTGCGTGATGCAAATTTTCCGCTCGAGTGCAAGGAAGACGTGATTGAGGCGAATATCCCAATTTGCGTCATTCATGTCACCCGGCGCAAATTCGCATCTATTCACGTCTTTGCATTGACTTTATATGTAATCTACTCGCGCAAATAATTTGATTCGCTTTTGGTGTGCACAAAACATAAGGCATTAATATGTGATTTATAGCTACTAATAAACAGCCAATATGCTAGTTATATGCATGCTAATAAGCAACTAGTTAATAGTAAAAACTGGTCCCTAAACTAAAGTGTTACCCATTTATGCATTTGGTAGACACTTTTATCCAAAGTGACTTGCATTGTATTCAATGTATACATTTTATTGGTTCATGCATTCCCTTGGAATCAAACCCATGACCTTGGTGTTGCTAGTGCCATGCTCTGCTGTTGGAGCTACAGGAAATCTCTCAGTAAATCTACGATTTTCAAGAAATAAAAGACTGCCCATGCAAATCTCAATGCCACAGTGCAGGGTTGTTGTGAGTGATTGCAAGAAAGATGCTAAGGGGGTTCAGTATGGCTTTTTAGCATGTTGTTTTTGCATTTCTAGGAGGATACCTACTGGTTAAAGTCAAAAGAGCTCACCCTTAGGTGTATTAATATAGACTATGGGATTTTTATGTGTTTTATTGATGTTTCTCCCTGGCAATTATATACCTCGTCAACAAGCCACATGATTTGAGGAACCAATCATGTCTTTAGCAAATAAATGCATTGGATAACTTATTGTATGTGTCAAAATGTTGTACTTACTATGAGCAATACTAACAGTGATGGTTGATTTAGCAAACGCCACTGATTTATAGCATACCTGTAGTTCAAACAAAAGCACGGTGCTAGCAATGCCAAGGTCATGGGATCGATTCCCAGAGAATGCATGAACCAAAACAATATACAGATAACTTTGAATGAAATGTAAACTGCTTTAGATGATATGTTCATGGTTACATCATGGAAGTGCAACACAAGTATATTAAGGTGCAGTCACATTTACTGCAGGAAGGCAAATTTTCACTGAAGGAATCAAGCTATTTCTATAGGAATGTTTGTATGAGGGGGAGAGATTTCCCCACACAGATGGTCTACACAAAGTGTTGAAGCTGGTCACGTAAACACTCTTGGTTTGAAAGTGGCTTCTGTAGGTATGTTTACATGCACTAATTTTCAGTAATCAGAATGAACCCAATCATATTTCAGATTTTGTAGTTCTGATTATATGAACTCTAAACTTTACAATCCACTTTTCATATTCATTAACATATGCATGACACGTATTCTGAACAAAACTTCATGGCACATACTGTGACCTATTTCTTAGCAAATATTTAGAAAATAATCAGTCTCCTCCACTGATCAGTTCATAAAACGACATTCATTGCATAAGACATAAAACTTCAATCAGATCATTTCAAGTCTACACCGGCCCTTCTAATCTAAATTGAAATTTTATTTGGATTGACTGTTTACATGAAGGCTTTACAATCCGACTGAAGCATTAATCTGATTACTAATGGATTATTTGGTTGTAAGTAAAAATATCTTGAGCTGTGCTTCATACATCACCACACTTTTGACAATGGACCTTTTTGCCTGCAAAATGTTGCTATGTGACCACACCCATTATCAATATCACATGAAAATGGTACAAAAATTATATGTGAATCTATTGCACCTCAGGGCCTCTGTAACCAAAGCTGGCTAGATCGACAATATCTGCGTCTCCACTGAGCCTACAGATATATCCTGAATAGATGAAATTCCACATTTCTAAATAATACATTTATATATAAGCATGGTCAACATCCACTGTAGCTTGCAGTTTTTTGACTGGCAGTTCTGTCATAGAGTGACGCTAGCGAGTGCTCAGTCATCAAAACAGCTCCAGCCTTCCAGAGAGTAGCGCTGAGGATACAATTCATTACGCCACGGCGGGAAGGATGGAGTGGGAGCTGTTAAGGACACATTGCACACATTTCCTTTGGGAAATATTGCTGGCGTACTTAGTGGCGTAGTTGGCAAAGTTGCAATCTGAACCCTATCATGTACGTTATGCTCCAGAGAGGAGCCGAAACGACTTCTGCACAAAGCTTTCTCAATGGGTGGAAGAATGACGGTACAGCCAAAGCGTTTTTCAAACCTTTACCACATTTCTCTAAGAAAATGATATTTGATGATATCTTCTTCTTTTACACCCATTGGAAAGTTTCCTAAAATGGATTCTAATCTACACTTTGTAAATCTGGTGACATAAACGTAGGGCTGCACGATGAATTGCATTTTAATCATGATCACGATTTCCACCTCTCTTGATTTAAAGGGATAGTTCACCCAAAAAATTACACTTCTGTCATCATTTACTCACCCTCAAGCTGTTCCAAACATGTATGAGTTTCTTTTATTTTATATTATACTGTATTCTGAAGAACGCTAGAAACCAAAAAGTTGCTGGTAGCCATTGACTTCCATATTAGAGAAAAAAATATATAAAGGTCAATGGCTACCATCAACTGTTTGAATACACACATTCTTCAAAATATGCTCTTTTATGTTCCACAGAAGAAATACATTTTTACAGGTTTGTAACAAAGTGAGGGTGAGTAAATGACAAAATCTTAATTTTGGGGCAAACTATCCCCCTAGGACAGGGGTAGGCAAGTTCGGTCCTAGAGAGCCGCAGTCCTGCAGAGTTCAGCTCCAACCCTAATCAAACACACCTGAACAAGCTAATCAATGTCTTCAGGATTACTAAGGCTATAGGCAGGTAAGTTTTGTTTTCAGGGTTGGAGCTGAACTCTGCAGGACTGCGGCTCTCTAGGACCGAACTTGCCTACCCCTGCCCTAGGATAATCATCGGTGGTTATTTAACCTGAAAACAATTCATTTTAATTCAGCATCTTGCATGGTAACAAGATTCCACAAGCTTTCATTGCAATGGTTGCCAGATTTCAAGTGTTTAAATCCGCCAATCAGAGCTTTTTTCTTAAATCCATACATTTTCATCCCAGTGGTTTACTTAATCTGCCCAACCTGGCAACCATGCGCATGTGCTCTCTCTACATTACAGAAAAAGCGCTGATGAGCTGGAAACACCAGCAAACACGTAAGCTGGAGTTTAGCGATCTCTATTGGGATTTTCTGCTCAAATAAAACTCTGCTTTCTTTCACACGGTCACTTGTGCTGTTTGCAGAGACCAAAAACCGTGAGCAAAGCATGCAAGTTGAAATTCTCTTGATTTGTGCTTAAATGAAAGTGCAATGATTCTGATGAAATGACAGTATTTCATGGCTATATTTATGCAAATTCATGATTAACCATTTAACCAGGTATCGTGCAGCCCTACATACTGTAGATGTAAAATAATTTGAGAGGCGCCACTCACTAGCTCTTCTAGTCCAAACTACTACCCACAGCACTAAATATGGAGCATCGTGAAATCGAGAGGGAACCGCTGTGGTTTACTACCTGTCCATGCTATTGTAAGCCCCGTCTGAGTATGCACGGGCCATCCTAGTGGAGCGCAGTAACCTGACCGCGTCCTCCCGATAGAGGGGGTACATACTATGAGTCAGAACAGAAACGAGAGTGAGGTGGTTAGAATTGGGTGGGGCAAGTGGGCGTTATCTGGGTGTTAAGGGGGCGGAGCTTTTCTATCCTCTTTTTTTTTAGCACTTCCTCTCTGAAAGAAGGCACAGGTGAAGATCGCGCAAAGCACAAATGCGGAAATCAAGTAACCTTGGGCAAAGAGAACTAGCAGATATGCAAAGCTATCAAAACTATCATTGATGTTGCAGCACACACCAGCAGCAATAAAGATTTGTTCATCCCAAAGAAGTGCAGATGTAGTGCTTTTCCAGTGGTGAGAATTAAAAACGTGCAAGTGCAACTATTTGTGTACATTACTATTACGCACTAGATCGTAGTAGGAAGTGCACAAAATTACTGTGCTTTTTTAAAGGAATTCACTAAACAGTTTTCCCTTTTTTGTGAGGACTCACATATATATACATATATATATATAGGGTACAACGGGGCTAAAGGCACACCCTAAGAAAAAATGTGCTTTTCACTGAGCCCAAAGTGTATGATTGCAGAAAAAATATATACCTTTGTATTGAACATTTATGGAGCAACAGATTTTGCGTGAAAATAAATCATACAAGTCGTTTATTTTGTTTAAAAATCGTATAAATTTATGAGGTGGCAAGGGGGGCCTTTTACCCCACACACGGGGTAAAAGGCTCACCAGCATGGGGTAAAAGGCACACAGTATTGATACAAATACTTTTTTTGTTTAATAATGTTAATTGACGTTAATTCTTGTTCAAAACAATCACTTTAGCAAAGTTTGTACTATTTTCTGCTTATTTTGATAAATAAAAGAATTCATTTTTGTTCAATAAATATACTGTCTTTAAAATATGTTAATATAAAACATTTTAAAATACAGAAACAAAATCATTTTAAAAAGTAAAGATTCTTAAATTTAATATAGAATTCATATAGAAAATTTAATATAGATTTACATTAGTAACAACAAATTATTTTATTATATGATATGATTAATATCATGTTTTTAAATATGATGGTTTCATTCCAAACATGGTGATTATCTAAGATGGACACCAACATAATATATGATATTTACCATCTGAATCTAACCATGTCAACAAATGAAAAAGTCAGCCATTTATTAATTATCATAAATTTATTATGATAAATTATCATTAATTACTGTGCGCCTTTAGCCCCAACAGCAGGGGCGCTTTTTACCCCAAATACCATATTACATATTCTTTCGTTATTTAAAAACTGTTGCTTTAATTATCTTAAACAAAACTGAAAATCATAAACAAAATCATTTTAAAAAGTAAAGATTCTTAAATTTAATATAGAATTCATATAGAAAATTTAATATAGATTTACATTAGTAACAACAAATTATTTTATTATATGATATGATTAATATCATGTTTTTAAATATGATGGTTTCATTCTAAACATGGTGATTATCTCTAATATGGACACCCAACATAATATATG